CACAGGGATTATATTTTGATATGTAAGAGATACAATGAAATAATCTTGATGTGTCAATACTAACTGACATAAGACAAATTATTTAAATGAACCGAGTATGAAATGATGGTACGATAATAAACAAGTAAAACACATACATGTATGAGAAAGCATATGTGTGCGTGTGTGTGTGTTTAATTTCTCAGTTTTAAATGCATCTCTTAATGGGTTTCATGCACCAATTTTTATGTACTGTACTTAACTGTTTACATATCAAAGGACCTGACCAAATAACACTGTGTATGTATCAAAATATTAATAGGACCATAACCTAAAACCCAAAATAATTTTCTAATTTTTGGTTAATGGCAGACTAATTTGCTTGCAGGTACAGTAGAATCCCAGTTATCCAGCACCTACAGGAATTGAGAGGTGCCGGATACAGAGTTTCCCAGTTAGTTGAAACTTACTCTTAGGATCCCCCAAATAAATCCTACAATGCACAGTGCTACAGGCTGACCTCGCAAATTATATCTCAGAAAAACGTATTTCTTTAACAATTATTCCACTCCATATAAACGATGTTGCTTAGAAATAAAGAAAATATAATATAAAACTATTAATTAAGAAAAATGTAGAGCATGGGTGTCTATGTGTGGGAAATGAACATGTGTGGAAGTGGTGGGCTATAACTATGTCGCTGACTCGCCAACCCAACCACCTCTTATTTTGTGAGTTGTAATGAAACAATAAAAGTTGTGTAATAATCATTACAATACTTCAGTGTGACTTGAAAATATGGAAAATATAATATAAAACTATAAAATAAGAAAAATGAAAAATATGTGTAGAGAATGAATGTGTTATGAGGCGGTGCGATACTGGGCAATAACCACGTGGCTGTGCTCCCCCTCGACATGACATCATGGCATACACACAGCTAGCACGTCAGCCACACGTCTGTGAGTCAGCTGGTTGACGGCCTGAATTGTGTTGCGTCACTCAGAGAATGGTTTGAGTGTGGAAGGAGATTTTTTTTTTGTAAATAAATTATGTGCTATTGTATTTTATGATACGCTATGTATCGATTTTATTGTTTATCATAGCAATAAATATGGCAGCTCAACCTCGTTGCGTGCGGTATTCAAACTTACACTTCCTTCAGCCTTCATAGGGTAAGGACATGTGTAGTCGGTGCTGCCCGCTGAAGCGGCTGTGGTCTCTTGACCATGGAGACAGCTGCTAGCCCGGTCTGTTGGGCCTTCCACTCCTCCCCATCTGGATTTATCAACATCCTCCCACCAACAGTAAAGTGCAAAGATTGACGATCAACCCACAAGTGATATACAAAAGTGACAATTTCAACTCGAAAGAAAGAAACAACTGTTAAGAGTGACAATCGTGCTTAGCGGTCAATGTTGACCTGACACACCCAGGGTCCGCCGTACACTCACCACCACCAACACTGGATGAGAAGCCAAGAAAGACTCTAAACTACATCATGAGAGAATTGAGGACTCCCTACTCCACCCATGTGAGGAACTGTGAATTTCTAACTACATCACATGAGGAACAAGAACCATCTCCAACACTCTGTGTGAGCTGGAGGACCTACCCAAACCACGTGGTACATCTGCAGCTGCAGTGAGGTAGCGGCTTAGCAGCCAGGTACAACAGCCATCAAGACAGTGGGAAGGACTTTGTTGGCGCCGACATCAGGTCACAAGAAAGTCTACAGACCAGCTCCCACAGTACCAGATCTAAAGTAAATCTACATGTTGACTCTATGTTTCTTATGTTTTTGTATTGAAAGCTTTTGTCAATCAAGTGACCCACTCCCTAATTTCACCATACAGTATGTAACTTATCATCTCTGTTCATTGTATATTTTCCACCTTCGGGCTGCCATGTTACCATAATAAACCGTTAATTATTATTATTATTTTTATGATTCTAGTTGATTTTGGAGGAATTTTTATTTATATTAAAATTATTTCATTTTGATGCTGGTTAGCCGAGTCTACCGGTTGCCCATATACCGGATAACTGGGATTCTACTGTAATTACATGTCAGACAAGTCTCTGTAGGAAACCTTGTTTAAACACAGCACCCAGGAAAAATGTCATACTGTATGTTAAAGACTTTCAAAATGTTTAAGTACCGAGAACATGATTAGCAGCGATATACGAGTATATATTATCTATAGACATTCTGGATAATTTTTCTATATTCTCTTCAGTTAAATAAGGCTTGAATACTACAAACATCCACTTCAAGATAAAGAATGTAGAAACATACAATTACAAGATTTTGGTAAGGAAAAAGAATACAGATTTGCCAAACATTAACACCTCATGCACCAGTGGGATAAGAGCCAGGCTAAGAGTGACCAAGCAGGAAGATTAAAGAAAATCACATCTCCAATGAGACAGACACTGATTATTCACGATAATTCTATTTGGGGGCTGTAATGCAATATGAATGCAAACTTGATGAACTTCCTCTATTTATTATCCAGAATATTTGTGTTTTTGTTTTCCAGTTAGCGAGGGGTGAAAATGTTCCAGAACCTCACCACTGTATACTAATAAGCTCTAAAGTACAATATGTGATAAAAGCTAAATTCACTCTATATTATTAGACACTTCCTAACATAATCCACTACATGCCTACCGCTCTACAACCTGCTCCACTTTTTACCCAAGCCATTTTATGTAATATGGAATTAACTAGTGGTAAGTGAAAGCCTTAAATAAAAACACATTTATTTCATCAACATATAATCTCTCTGGCAAATAATTAGCCCGTAAATACACTATTGTCATACATCAGAAAAGTAAAAAATAATGAAGTGTTCCCAGTTTTATCACAACAGTATTTCTTCAGTTTTATATCCTTTGGTTTTAAGAAGACTTTATTCATTGATAATTTATACAATATATTCCAAAAGAACAATGTCCAATTTTTTGGAGCACAATTAGCCTCTTTATAATTTTTTTCTTTTCATTTACACTACAATGTTCAGTGTGTTGTAACAGTTTTCCTAAACTTGGAAATAATATCTACGGTTCTGAGTGAAAGAGATGGCAAACATTCTATGCAAGGAGCTAACTAGTTGGAGATAGTGTAACAAGCGACCAATTTTAAATACATTACTTTAAGATGTTTACACAGCCAGGTACAAGCTGAGAACCTTCATGTTCTCGCTATGAGGACAATCAGTTACCTCATCATTATTAACGTCAACTGAAAACTTACCCTCAATCAACAAAAATCTTTACTAAATATTCAGCATTAAAAGAAAGTCCTGTTCTTACTAGCCTCCCTATGGTGATCCCTTAGAAAGTATTTTCTTTGATATTCCAGCAGACACTTCTCTCACACCAACGTAATACGTTACTACTAAGGTTTGAGATGTGATTATGTAGAACTCTTTCAAATTGTATGACTGCTCAAAAGATAAGAAATGAAGAAGAGCAAAGGTGTTGTGATGTGATTATCAAGCAAGAGGAATTTTTAAACAAATATTCTACCGTACAACAATGGACGATACAATGTTTTGGGGAAAAAAGAAAAAAGTGGAGTACTAATTTCCTTTTATGTGTGGTGGTATAGTCGAGTAGTGGATTTCACATTTTTCTAATTGATCTTGTGAAAAATAAGGAGAATAAATGTTATGGTAGTCATCACAGCCCTGTAGTTCATGAAAAATCATAATGGGCATGTAAGTATGAAAATAGATTATTAAAAATTAAAATATTAAGTAATATTGGAAATAAAACTACAACTGAAACTGCAACTAAAGATAGACCGTTTAAATTTTTTTCAGATCATAAAGGAAGTTTGGATATTAGATATGACCAAATCAATCAACCTACCTATTCATTTCTGTTTAGTGACCCAATCTTTCACGAAGAGGAAAAAAATTATATATATAAACCAGGTGCATAGTAATATGTCATTGATGTGTACCAAAACAACTTTCTAAACCCTTCCCAATAAGAAATAAAAGGGGATGGGGGCTGCAAAATAAGAATACATCAATTAACATACAACACCTTTTTTAAGCAAAACTTAAAATAATTTTACGCATTTTTATATTGCCAACACCATAACCAAGTCCAGAAACATAAATACTACTATCCTTCTCTATCTGCTGAATTTCCCTCTAACAATATTTTTTTTCCATACTTCACTGAGTATTTAAATAAATATCCAATCCACATTAGGCTGAGGTATCGTTCAAGTTAATAAAGATGTTATCAGAGATGAAAAAGATGTATGTCTAATGTGTTAATCAAGTTCATGTTAACTGGAAATTAAGCTGCCAATACTGTAATTATTTAAAACTGATAACTCTAAGACATAAGTACTTGTACAGTATATCTATAAACAGTCTAGAAAAACTATTAACATTGAAAATTTCATTGAATATAAATGTTAATGAACAAACTGATTATTTTGTTTCCCAAAAGTGGGTAGTAAGGTTCAGGTATCTGGAGCCTTGAAATAACACTGACATAATCTTCTGACTCATGAATTGAACTGTCCCTTTCCCAGCCATGTTCTGCTTCTGGATTAAACCTGGATCAATAAATTGTAGGACCAGCATGCTAATTACACCATACTATCTCAACCTGGTTAATCTTAGGTAATGCTCCTTACTTACTGAATGTTCTCTCATGACTAATTACAAAAGAAGTAATCACTTTGCTAATATCAATTAGTTGTTAGCTTGTACTCTCTGATTACATGAAAGTAACTACATCAAAGGAAAAACTATAAAGACCAAGATGCCTAAATTTTTTTTTTTATTTAAGCTGATACTCACACACACTACAGAGATAGTGAAAAGATTGCCACCATTAGAGCCAATTAATTGTAGAATGAATCACTTGTCACTCCAAAAATAAATTTGTGTCCTTTGCAGATCCAAATCATAAAGTTTCAGCAATTCAAGACTCAATGAAAAGATAAAACAAAGGAAGTTGATGCTCTACAATAATTTTTGACATCATACCTCCTCAATCATTTTATCCTCCTCCAAACTGGTGGAGTGGACGGGGGTGGAGGGTGGAGTGGATGACAGTTCAGAAGACATGGATTCTCGAGCCAGTCTTCTCTTCTTCAGAGGGGTGATATAGTCTCCGCCACCAGTAGGCGAGTCTGTTGATAAAAATATTAAATAAATCATTGTTTATACTGTAAGAGCAATGTTATTACAGTAAACACATTTTTTAAAGAAATAAAATATGTATACTTGTACAAACTCTCCATGGGCCTATAAAATAAAATAGCTGCATTTTTGGTCCTCATCACACAAGTTGATGAAAATACCTATTAATATTTTTGAAACAATTCTCTTAGCAAAAAATTTCTTTACTATAATCCTACCTGGTCTACTATTTGGACTGGGGCAGAGGCCATTGAACTGAGGTGACTCAGTTTCTTCACTAATGGCCTGTCTTAACCATCTTTTCTTTGCAGAACCACCAGGCATTTCCAAGTTGAGAATAGTTCCCTGTATTACTGATTGGTTTACAGAAGATCTTCTCAAAGGAGTAGCTGGTGATCTCATGTAGCAGGTTGGTACTCCAGAGGGAAGTTCTGCAACACCGGTTATGTTCCCACCTGGGAGCACTGGGTCAACATTTTCATTCAACCATTCATTCATAAGTGCTTTCTTCGTTTTAGGGAATCTGTAAAGGGAAAACATGTGTACATGAGTTATGTTGTCATACACTTTCCTTCTGATTTGCACAAAGATCTCTTCTTTGAGAAAAATATATTATAAATAAATTTAAACCCAATAAAATAAATAAGCTACAATTTATTAAGTAAATTTTCAAGATAGTTACTAACCTAAATCCCATAGCATTAGAACTCCCCTGTGGTGGTGAATTGAAGTTAAGAGCAATCCCCTCGATGGATGCCCCTAAGGGAGACATCAGTCCTACTGAAGCACAGCTACTTTCATCTCCAGTCAGATCTGATGCTGTAGAATCTACACGATGACTGGTACGTTTCTGAGGACTACCCTTTCCTCTTCCTTTTTTTCTGTTGATGAGGGTGGAATTCAAGAAACTGCCAGCTACAGTATATATATATAAGAGTGTGAAAGTACTATGAAATGTATGTAGAGAACTGTGTCAGAGGAAGCAAAGAAGATACTGTAAAGAAGAATTCTTGCACTGACAGTGTAAGAGAAGTATGAAGCATGGATTTGCGATGAATGAGGAATACAGAAAGAGGAATACAGTAAACTATAACTCTATGATATACCTGATGGTAATATATGTGGGGAAGAACATGATGCAGAGAACAGATGTATAAATAAAAAGATGTGAAATTAAAAGAAGTGCAGACATAGAGCTTACCAGGGTTTGCCAAGTTGATATGGAGAAAAAATCAAAGGTGGATTAACAAGGGAAAGACAAAGCCAAAAATGAGATGGAAGGATAGGATGAATGATGAACTATGAGTGAAGGAGATAAACATCCTGGAAACAGAAGTGTGAGTGAATGATGGAGAAGCATGACATCAAGTGTTCTACAGGGATGGGTAAGATGTTAACCCTCTCATGGTCTTTCAGTGCAAATTGCATCGCTAAGCGCGCAACCCCTCCTGCTCAGCCGTATCTCAAACCGAGAGCACACCTCCCGTAAGCAGAAACACTGGAACAGTGGACTGGCCCTATCAACCACCTAAGTTCTGCCCACTAGCTTCGTGGGCTGGCAGATATGCATCTCTAAGGGTGCAATTTGGGTCTGGATCACTCTACCCAACATTTAATAAAATGGAAAAAACGTTTCGGTTACTGACGCAACCTGCGTTGAAAGACTGCGAGGGGATGAGATTTCCGACCATGACCAGGAATACCAGAGGGCTAATGGATGATGCTAGAAACACCATAACAGAACACAACTGTTATAGTACTATGTGTGAATAAATGACAACAGAAGAGGAGATCTATGCTTGGCCTATCCCCCCCCCCTCCCCCAATTATTGCAGGTGAGTGCTTGTAAAATGTGGGTAGGTGGAGGAGTGGGGATTGTGGTTCAGCAGCCTTCTTTTTTTGTTTTTTTAGCCTATATTAATAAAAATAAATCCCTCAAAACTTTACAAGTACAGTATGTCCAAACCATAAGATCTACAAACAATAACTGTACTTACCCTTTACGTCTACTACGCTCAGCACCAGGTGTATTTCTCACGCTCTCATCAGCACTACTAGTTTTCTCCCAGTCCTCCTCCTCTCCATCACAACGTTTTTTATCCTTATCCTTTGGGTCTTTGACTTTATCTTCCTCCTTCTTTTTTTCCATCTCCTGTCTTCGTTGAGCAGCTTTCTCCATTCGTTCAAAGGCTTTCATGTAGGCAGCTATTTTGCGCTCTTCACGTGTCATCTTCTGTTGCTGCTGTTTGTCTATACATTTAGGCATTTCAGGAGTAGTTGCAGCTGTTGGTGGTGTGTTGAGAGTTGAATCTTTCCCGCTGTCTTCTGGTGAACTTGATACAGATGCACTAGGAGACTTTGCAGGAGATTTGCCACATCCTGATGCCCGTCTCTGTTTAAGAGGCGTTACTGGAGTACTATTTACACTGGGTGTGATAACATTATCACTATTGCGGCTTTCTGTAGATGTGGTTCTTTTACTAGTGCGGAGTTGTAGCTGTAACTGCTGCTTTTTAAATGTTTTCTTGTTGCTGTTAATAATAAAGATATAAATTTAATAAAACTAAAATTTAGGGTCTGAACTCGTGTACATTAAATTCCATTATGGAACAAATTAAAACATAATGTAGTAATACTTATGAGAGAGGCCTAAAATTTTTAATTTTTCACCTATTTATCTTTATTTCAGATGCCATGTTCCCCCTTTGGTGATGTGAGGTGTGGGAAATTAAAGAATAGCCTCCAAACCATCCTACCTAATACCTTTCTTGCCTTATCATTACCCTTGTTTTCTCATATGACCTTTCCATTAAACACACTTCCACGTTTTCCTTCCAGGGGGCTGATTAATTCCCCAGCAATTTACCACACTACTGTACAGTACACTATATTTCTATCACACTGCATCATCTTCCGTGTCCAAACCACTTCAATGTGTTTCCCTGACACACTCTTTGAATGTCATACACCACTCACAACCCAAAAATAGTTTGTTGTAATTGGCAAAAACTGCCTGGGTTGAAAGCCCGTTTCCTCCCTTCTACAACACACCCAGAAACAGTCAAATGATCTATGTTGATTCTTGGGCCTTTACATCTGTCAATATATCTTCCTACTTCAGAATCCTTCATAGGATTAACTATCACCTTCCTACATTGTAATGCTCTCTTATTTCTCTATTCATGGTATCATGCTATACAATAACAAACCAAGAATGAAATTTCCTGAACACCTTCCAGTTCAGTGGAGGAGGAAAAGAAGGAAAAGAAAAGGGGGGGAGGACGAGGAGGGTTAATGCACACAAATAAAATGGCAGTGTACCAATGATAAATTTCCTTCCATTTTAAGAAAAAAAATGTCTACTAATATATTATTAAATTTGAGTTGCCTAGGTATTTTATTTTACATAGTATTTAAACAATAAAAAAAAAAGGTTAAGTTATGCATGTACTGGAAACAGTTCATCACTGCTAAATGATGAAAAAAAATAAAAAATTCACTGCTTCCTCCACCACTTAATCCAAGAGTAGTGATGATCACTGGAACACCACCAAATTACTATCAATAACAACAAAACAACTGGAAGCCTAAAATTAACTTACCTCAGGATGAGGCCATTTTTCTTATGAGGGGTTGTAGGCACTGGAGAAGTCTGTTCAACTTTTGAAGGCTGGGGAGCTTGGCAGTCATGCTCTTCTGACAAGCAACACATCAGTTCCAGGTTGGAATTCGCAGTCTCCAAGGCTAAAGTGACCTCTTCACCCTCCTCAATATCTCTTGTTGCAACTAAATATAAATGAAGGGATCCTCTTTCTACCACATGTCGTACCTGCATGACAAATAAGATTAATTTCACTTGTTTCATACCATATTCATAAAAATTAAACAAATTTACTAATTTGTTACTACCTTAGCCCATTCTTATGTTGCACCCATCAACAACTCTTATAGTATCAGCAAACTCCTCCCAATATCCACTTTTCATATTTCTGTATAACATAAATGTAACATGTATTTCAAATTAAACTCAAATCTAGCTTACTGCTTCATTAAAACCCCTTATTTCTTCATATGGCACTATAAAACTATCTACATACAATATGAGGTGCTGAGTGCAATAAGGGGCCAAGCACCATCCCCCCTCCCCCAACCTTTCCTCTATCTGCAGAAAAACAAACTCCCAGTAGTGCAATACAGTACTGTATAGTCTGCATTTACGCGGCTTTTGTTTACGTGTTTGGTCATTTACGCGGTGCCTTGCCAGAATGAAAATGCTTTAATTACGCACTAAATTTGGTCATTTACGCAGCGAGCGGCCGGAGGGGTCCAGACTGCCGCGCCATTTTTTACCCACGCGGTCCATTCTTGGCCATACGCGGGAAGCGACGCGGTGAGTGGTGGGCATAAGGCCGCTCTTACATTATCGCTGATGTCATATGACGTATCGGATTGTGATTGGGCCACGCATCCTTACCTCCCTCAGCCGCTAGCTGTGATTGGTCTAATGTAACATGACGTGCCCTGCCACCAGAGGGTAGAAGTCGCTGACCTAGCAGGGCCTGTCTCATTGTTCTCAGCCCGCGTATACAGTTCTCTCTTGTGCCCACTATTCCCCCCCTCACAATTCACAATGGCTTCTGCACGACCCCCACCACCAGAGAAAAACATTGAATTACCTGGACCAAGCCATGATAATGTGAAGAAAATCATCGAATTGGGGGAGAAAATTAAGCTCATCCTTGACAACAACCCAGACAAGCATCGGTATGAAGCATCTAATAACCATTTGACGAAAGTTATGGAGCCGTATATCCAGATCTATCTCGACAACATCAATGCTAGTCGTCAACGTAGTATTGAGGACTTCCTTGCCCGCAACCAACCACAGCCAGCCCGAGTCAGTGATAGTGATATTGACAGTGAGGATATGGACTTTGAGGGGTTTGTCTGGGAGGCCCTACAAACCTCTGCGAGTAGTGAAAGTGAAAGTGATTCACCGGAGGGCAACTATGGTAATCTGCCCTCTGCCTCAGAACCAGCCGCCTTCCACGTGTGCCGACCCAGCTGTAATAAGTCATTTATGTCCAATGTATATTTTCAGCCTTCGGGCTGCAAACTTTTTCAATAAACCGTTTATTATTATTATTTTTATTATTAAGTGTTAAAAAACCTAATATTATTGATATTTCTCTTAATTATTTATTGTGTGTGCATACCATCATAAAATTAAGATGTTATTTTTACTACAACGTACGTATTGTGTCGGAAAAAGTGGAGTTTGGGGGTCGGCCCAGTCTCTATTTCAATTAATCCCATATATTCTGTTATTTCATTTACGCGTTTCTCGTTTTACGCGGGCCTCCACGGGTTCAATTGACCGTGTAAATGCAGACTACACTGTACAGTATTTGTAAGGCTGAGAGCCATATTGGTGAAGGTAGATATAAGCATCTCTACAGCGCGTGATCTGCGCCTCGAGGCGGACTGAGGGGGACAAATGCCCACAGCCCCCCAACCATAGCCTCTTTCGCTCACAGCGACTCATTATTTTCCAGTTTCTTAGCTAATAGGAGTCCATGTTTCTACAAAAATATCATAGGAATGCTATGAAATAACACTTAAAACCTTTTTTTTCTTTTTCCAATTGGCAGAAAGAAGGGAGTGAGGGACATTGGGAGAAAAATAAGCAAAACAGAGAGGAGGGAGGGCGAGGAGGGTGGGAGTGAGGGCTGGTGACACATGGTGTGTCATGTTCCAGCCTGTCCGAGTGACGAGTCTTATCGCACCAAAAGGGGGGAAACAGAGGGAGGAAGCGGTGGCTTGGAGTGAGGGTGGGTGGTAATATTGGTAATACAAGTCATTGTTTACTGTAATTGTTCTAATAATAACTAAGACTTAAGTACCTGCATTTTTTGTCTATTGTCAAAATATTGGTAATACCTTGTATTGTTCGCTTTTATGCAAACATTACAATGACCTTTGACTTTCTGGTGTGGTCTTAATACATTATTGCTTCCATGTAATGAAAATTATACCTCAAAAATGCACATTAATGAAAACTGCAAAAACTACCTCATCAAAAACAATGCAATTTTTACTATCAACAATCTTTTCAATATGACTTTAGTATCTGCAAAATCAGCTTTAAGAGCTCTATACACTGCCACTTGAATTAACTCAAAATCTTCATTGGTTCAAAAGTTATGTCATTTTGAATTTTTCCAAACTTTAAGAGCATTTTTCTCAATTGTGATTTTTTGGCGCTTGGTACCTTGTCACACTCGGTGCCTCATATTTTCAAAGTACAGTACAGTAAGGCCTCCATAATTCAAAATTCATCATAATTGGACTTGCTGCTGTATTTTCTAATAAGTTAACCTCAATGTTTCCACAAGCCAAAATCCCATAAAAAGAAAAATCAAGTAAATGTATATAATATAGATATATTCCACAGCTGATACAATATCTACTTTACTTTAAAACATAAAACACAAAGAGTATAAACTGACCTCAGCATTAGGTGTACAAGATCTTCGCGTGAACCTGGCATCATTACCATAGGTTCGTGCATCGACACAAACGGTGAGGCCCTCCTTCGGCATGTGGTACTGTAAGACATATGGCAGGTACGGTTGGCCTGACACCGGTTGCTGGGCATTCCATTGTGACGCCAACAGGTACTTGCCTTGGAACTCTGTGATGGCTGTATTTATACATAATCTGGTAGCTGCTACGAGAATCTGTGAAAAATAAGAGATTTTGTAATAATTATCAAACAAAGTGCATAATTGCACATGTTAGGTAGATTATACATTGCACAGGCTGTTTAAACAAGAGCAGAAGTAGCATAAAAAAGAATGTGTAGACATCGTACCTTACAATCAAACACATCAAAGAGTGGATGGGGATTCTCAACAACTTTGCACCGGTGACCCAGAACTGCTCCTTGTGTGGAAGCTCTTAAGTCAGGAGACACGCCATTAATGCGAGCAGCATGAACCCTGGCACGAAGTTCTGGGGAATAGTGGTTTGTAACTGCCACCTCATAGCCCTCTACCCATGCCCGTAGTCTCTCAACTGGACCACTGTTGGAGTCATCACTTACACCTTCTCCACCACTCATACTACTGCTTTTCCGCTGCAATTAACCATGGAAAACTCATTAATGAATTACTGTATATAAAAATTTATAACTGAAAGCAAAACTTATTATAATTTTGGCTATGTGTATGACACATGAGATGAAATAAATAAATTATATAAATTATATTACACAGTTGTACAAAAACTTTTCACTCCTTATATTTATGAATATTGAAAAAAAAAATTTTAAGTGTACTGATATACTGTATATATATATATATATATATATATATATATATATATATATATATATATATATATATATATATATATATATATATATATATATATATATATATATATATATATATATATATATATATATATATATATATATATATATATATATATATATATATATATATATATATATATGTACACACACACACACACAGCTGCTCCTCGACTTACGAGTGGGTTAGGGACCCAATTCAAGTCGTAAGTCGTATTGGTCGTAAATCGTAAATGCGAAGATAATACATAGAAAATCTAAAATTGGGGTCTCTTTTTCTTCTCAGCACCACAAAACTCTCACTTTTAAGCATGCCAGCCATTTTAAAGGGAATTACAAACGAAAATTGTGTCAGTACACAGCGCAATCACTAAAATCAGGACTCGAAAATACGTAATTTGAAAAAAAATTTGGTACGACTGGGGCGGTCGTAAGTCGAAGAATAGCTGTATATATACTCCTTGGACTTATGACATACTCGACCTACGACCACCCGCACTTACGACCAGCCTCAGTCGGTACGACCACCGCAGTTGTACCAAAAAATTTTCAAATGACGCACATATTTTCTAGACCGAAACGTTTCCATCCCGTACGAGAGCGTCGCGTGGGCTGGATCGCGCCGCCTCGTGGCTACAGCACCCACGCCTTAGAGCGCTTTGCTGGTGTTTGGCTGTCATTGTTAACGATAGTGATCGCGCTGTGTACTGACATTATTTTCGTATCTAATTCACTTTAGAATGACTGGCAAGCGTAGAAGTGAGAGTGCTGGTGGTGCTCAGAAGAAAAGGAGACAGTCAATTACTTTTGAGACAAAAATTATGAGAATAATGCAGTATGAAAATGGAAAAACAGTAGCAACCATTTCACACGACCTAGCCTTCTCGCACTCGACCATATCTACTATTTTGAAGGACAAGGAACGTATTTGTGAGGAAGTGAAAGGATCCGCACCTATGAAGGGAACTATAATAATGAAAAAAAGACAAGGTCCTATTCATGAGATGAAAAAATTACTTGTGAAGTGGATGGAAGACCAGATACAAAAGCGTGTACCCTTAAGCCTTCTAACCCTACAGGCTAAGGCAAGAAGCCTTTTCGAAAGCCTGAAGGAGCAGACAGGAGATGAGAGCGACCAAACCTTCACAGCAAGTCATGGGTGGTTCCAAAGGTTTAAGATCCGCTACAGTTTGCATAGTGTAAAGGGGAGTGGAGAGGCAACAAGTGCTGATGTGGGTGCTGCCGAAGCTTTTAAGGAGGAGCTAGATCGTGTCATTGTGGAGGGAAATTATTTGCCTGAGCAAATATTTAATGTGGATGAAACTAGCTTATCATGGAAGCACATGCCTGAATAGACATACATCCACAAAGAGGCGAAAACAATGCCAGGATTCAAGACATTCAAGGACCGAATCACACTTCTGTTGGGGGGGGAATGTAGCTGGTTTCAAGTTAAAGCTTTTAAACATGACAGCAAGCACACACTGCCAGTGTTTTATGGCAGTAACAAGAAAGCATGGATGACCCTAGTACTGTTTGAGGATTGGTTCATGACTTGTTTCATTTCACGAGCCAAGGAGTATTGTCTGCAACAAGGGATTGCATCCAAGATTTTGTTAATTTTGGATAATGCTCCAGGACACCCACCACACCTGGACGACATGCACCCTGATGTTAAGGTAGTCTACATTCCACCTAACACTACCTCTATCATCCAACCCATGGATCAAGGTGCTATTGCTGCTTTTAAAGCGAATTATTTACGTACGACCTTCGCTCAGGCTGTTGCTGCTACGGAAGGTGAGAAAACGCTCAGAGAATTTTGAAAGGGCTACAACATTTTGAAATGTATAAAGGACATTAGTGCAGCATGGGATGAGGTTACAGGTCAGTGCATGAATGGAATATGGTAGAAAGTCCTGAAAAGATATGTGAACAGTTTCAGAGGATTTAATGAAGATGAAGTAATTTCTGAGATTAGTAACAAGATAGTGGAGTTGGGTAAACAGCTTAGTTAGAAATTGATAATGAAGATGTTGAGCAGTTGGTTGAAAGTGTAGCAGAAGAGCTAAGTAACGAGGACCTTATTGAACTGGAAGCACAGAAAAATGCAGAGGAAGAAGAGAGTCTAAATGTAGAAGAAGAACCTGCACCCTCCAAAAATTTTTCAGTGAAGCAAATGGCAGAGGCATTTGCTACAATTAATAAGGGGATGCAAATGTTTGACGGAAAGGATAAAAATGTTGAGCGTTTTGCCAGAGTTGACAGAATGGTCCAAGATACACTTGCTTGCTACAGGGAGATTTATAATGAAAAGAAAAAGCAAATTGTGCAGTCTAAATTGGACATATATTTTAAGAAGTCCCCCATTCCTGTCTCCTCACACCCCACCAGTGCTGCCTCTTCACTCCCTAAAGATGATCCAATACCTTCAACCAGCAAGTTTCCCCTGTACATTAACCTGTCTGAAGAAAGCGACATTAAAGACCCACCCAGCCCTGTCTCCTCCTCTGCTTCATCCATTTAATGTAGCCTCCATGTATAATTAGAAAATTATGGGGGCCCCGTGTGCAGTCAGCTGACTACATTCCTCTTTTCTGTCTTATTACAGAATATATATATATATATATATATATATATATATATATATATATATATATATATATATATATATATATATATATATATATATATATATATATATATATATATATATATATATATATATATTCTGTAATAAGACAGTAAAGAGGAAGTTCACAACCTTGGATGCTGAATACACAAATACTGTATTTATGTGCATGGTAATACGTACTGTACAGCAATATTTACCATCCTCTTTCTCAAAATTTTGTATATTATTCATGTACATGTATATTACAAATACAGAAATTACAAATTATTTTGAAGGAAATGAACACTTTTGCCAAAAGGATATGTACTAGTGACAGCAAAACTAGTGTATAATAATGAAAGAAGGAAGCAACAGGCAAGTGTGACATATTAATGTTCAAGCAGACAAATAACTATTAAGACTGTCGTGTATAAAGCCATAAATTTGGACAGAAAAGTGAAGTGACCAATCTTGTGACTTGGCATAAAATTACCAAAAGATAGACTGTCAAGCACTGGATACCAAGCCAAGAAGAGTTTAGAGTCACCACTTTGTCGAAGGGAACCTACTATCAACTGTAGACATATCCACTAACCTGATTGCTGCCCATCCACTAACCTATGTACAAGGCAGGGATCGCAGCTAAAGGTGTCTAAGTGATTACAAGGTGGAGAAAGTCAAGATAAGAATTCTTAGAGGAAGAGTTTATTCATTTGCATTTTCAAAATAGCAGTGTTTGTATATTTGTAGACCACTCAACCATGCTGATTTTCTCAGCCAACCACTCACACAGATACAAGTTCAGTTAAACTCTGCTATTTTATAATTTGATATTTTTGACATTCATATACAGCTCTTCCCCAACTTACAACGGGGTTAGGGACCCAAATCCAAGTCGTAAGTCGAAAATGCTTAAATAATACATAGAAAATCTAAAATGAGTCTCTTTTTTTTCTTCTCAGCCCCACAAAACTCTCACTTTTAAGCTTGCCAGCCATTTTAAATTACAAGCAAAATTTTTGTCAGTACACAGCGCAATCACTGACGTTGGGACTCGAAAATACGTAATTTTACAAAAGTTTGGTACAACTGAGGCAGTCGTATGTCCGGGTGGTCGTAAGTCGAATAGGTCGTAAGTCGGGGAAGAGCTGTACCTGTGTACAGTATATTCATTTTAATAAATATGTAAAGCAAAATCAGATTACGATCAAGAGAAAGGGGAATGCTGAAGTCACTTATGATGCCAAACAAAATGTAACCTAATGAAATGAACCTAGGGTAGATTTATAATTTTTAATTTATTTGCTTTATGTGATCTACTTCATAAATAGTTCTGAAGAGTGTTTTCCTGTGTTCCCCTAGCAGATTTGTATTTTATGCATTAAAACAAGTCCTGAATATCAGCCATCCTCCAAATGTTTTGTCTACAGTGTTATGACAGTACAGTACATCAAATCAAGCATTACCAAAACCTACAGTACAGATATTGAAGAAATCAGCCCCAAGGTTATTTGGATAAAGGATCCTCATCCAACAGCAGCATGGATACACAGAGGACATAGCTATAGGAAAGATTGATGGAAGGTAAAATGTTTGAAAAAAAATTTCCATTACAGTGATCCCTCGGTTAACGAACGCCTCGGTTAACGAAATTTCGGTTAACGAATTACCTTCCATAAGATTCTTCACTTCGGTTCACGAAAAAATTTCGGTTAAAGAATTCCTTACGAATTTTTCCCAACATGTTTTCGCCTGCTTTTGCCTGCTCACCAGCTGTAGTATTAGTCCGCCAATACAGTAATCGGTTTTAGGGCTTAAATTCGTTACCATTTGAGTAAATATCAAGAAGGTTGTACTATTCAATAATTTTCCAAGTCTGATATAAAAGTTTTTAGTCATTTTAACAATTATTTAACATAACTGAAGTACAGGGAACTAGTTTTTAGCGCGCCAAACAGCCACTTGACTCACCCAAAAAGGCGTCAGTGTGTGTCCCTGCTCAGTGGAGGAAGCTTCTTGCTGGAGACTCTCTTGAACATAAACTATTTTTACGTTTTTACAGTACAATTATTGGTCATTCTGAAGTTTATTTTACATATTGACAATATATAATGCAGTGCAGTGTTGATTTAAAGAAAATAATCTTGAATTACACCAAGTGAACTAAAATTTTATGGGTGAAATGGCAACATGGGGTGGCTTCTCTTCCACCCCAATGCCTTCTCTTCTCCTCCACCCCCATTCTAATTCCCATCATCATCATCATCATCATCAACCAGGAGCCTTCTACATGCACACCTCAAAGTAAGTGTACTTTACTGCATTTATTTTTAGTTAGTGTGTAATTTTCGGTGAGCTGGAACCAATTACCCAAAACCCCATTGAAACAATGGTTTCGGATAACGAACCAATTACCCAAAATCCCATTGAAACAATGGTTTCGGTTAACGAACGACCTTCTGGAACGAATTGTGTTCGTTAACCGAAGGACCACTGTATCTGATTTAATGGACGGGGCTTGTTTTAATTTTCAACAGAACAGTAAATCATCACAATTATGATTACTGGAACAATGAAGACCTACATTGGCATGGGCAGAATTTCATGGAGGAACAATCATAGGGTTATATTTTTTAATGAGACTATAACAGTAATAATGTACCTATTTCCCTATGATTTGTAATTTATAATTGAAACCATAACCTTGTTAATTTTTTTGAATTGCCTTATGGGAACAGACTTTTGCTACAAAACAGTTTCCAATCACTACACTGATTACTGTAACTCTAAATTGGAGGAAGATATTGATGCCCCTTTTTGAGGTCAATGAAATTAACTATCTACCAATATCTGCAATTTAATTTTGTGTTGGCCTGTCTGTAACAAGAGTCACTGTCATGTATTGGTAATTTATGTGGTGTATTTCATTACTGTGAGGTAAAATATCTACCATCAGATGTCATGAAAATGGACCTGGAAATGTTGGTGTGTTGATAAGGGTGCAAAAAATTCAGCAGTGGCACCAAGACATTTTACAATTTGTCTTTTGGGTATTAATAATGACTGCATTTCTCTCCCTACTAATATATCACAATATCTAGAACTGAATTACTTTTAGTCTATCCCTTCAACTATTAACTTCTCCCTACCCAATTTAACATTTTATTTATAACGTTACTTTATATCAAAAAAATTTGGTATTGAGTGAATAACCTTCAGTGAAGACTATTAAATGCCAAGTGGGAGAGACAGGTGAACATACCTACTCATGCACATACTACAGTAATTAAAATATATTTCCTTCAACTTCCAGGAAAGAGGGTCATTGAGTTTTAGTATGCATATGGAATTTCTAAGTGGTCTCCTGTACAAATTCATTAACATAAAGCCACAGAGAAAAATTTTAGAGGCAAAGAGAGGTCATATTTGATGAACTAGATACAATAGTTAGGCTTCAGTATGTACAGTACATACACACAATCATACAAACATGAAGATGGATGGTCTTGAACAGCAAGTCCCTTAATTGTTCTCCAAACGAATATACAGTCAACCCTCGCTTTACGCGGTCCCACTTTATGCGTTTCCACGTTTACGCGGTACCCTGCCGAACACGGAATGCTCACTTTCCACGGTGTGTGTACCCTTTTACGCGGCGAGCGGCACGAGCAGGGTGCGCACAAGGTCGCCCAGTCATCAAAACATTACCGAGTTCTTCACCCGCCACCTACCACAGCCGGCCCAAGTCAGTGATAGTGATAATGATAGTGAGGATATGGACTTATATGGACTTTGAGGGGTTTGACAAAGAGGTCCTGCAAGCCTCTGTGGTGGATGGTGATACAATTGATACAAGTGATACAGGTGAGGGCCAATAATCTGCCCTCTGCCTCGGAACCAACCCCCCGTGTGCCCAGCCATCTTTTCTACTAATGTAAGTGTTAAAAAACCTAATATTATTGATATTTCTCTTAATTATTGTGTGTGCATACCATCATAAAATTAAGAAGTTATTTTTACTACAACGTAGGTATTGTGTCTGAAAAAGTGGAGTTTGGGGGTCAGCCCAGTCTCTATTTCAATTAATCCCATATGTTATGCTGTTCACTTTACGCGTTTCTCACTTTACGCGGGCCGCCGTGGGTTCAATTGACCACGTAAAGTGAAGGTTCACTGTACAGGATACTTATAAAATGGATAAATGTAGAGTGTGGAAGCAGCAACACAAACTTTATTCCTGAGTCATAACAGGAATAGGAATATACACACTGGAAAAATTTAAAGAAAGCGAGACAAAATTTTTTAAAATGTTAATGCATGTAATTGGGGAGGAGAAAAATTGAGCAAACAAAAAATTTAGCAAAAGAAAAAACAATTTAAAATGGATTTGGGCATAAAGATTAACTATTCTACTATAAGTAAAAAGCTGATTAAAATTTTTAACATTGGTAAATAGAATGAGGAATAATTTTTCTTTATCAGTAAAGAAATAAAGTACAACTATTCTGCCACCTTTTCATATCTACTTAATAACTTTCATTCCGCCACATACCAAATAAATATATAAATAATCTTCATAAAAAAAAGGTCAAAAACACTTAAAAGTTTATACATACTCTTCTTTTTACAAGCATTCTTCTTTCCTTATCTTCCATGCCTGGAATTATATTGTTGTTGCTAGTGGTGACAACATTACTTTTCTTCAACAGCGACAGTGAACCCTTGCGTCCATTCTTCATGTCTTTTATTTGTTTCACCTTCTTTTTCTTTACAACCTTTCTTTCTGGAATCTTCCCTAAAGTTCCTCGCCCTTTACTAGACATTGGGATATTGTCGTCAGAGTCTGAAGAAGACAATCTAAAACGGAAAGAACTTTTAGCAATATACAGAGAAATTCAACATCATTAAAACTATCACATATTGCAGAGATTTGATTGTTAGAATGATAGAAAAATTGTAAACCAACCTGGCAAGGTGAGCCTTAATTTCTTGTCTTCTGCGAATCTGCAGTGCTCGAGCTTTGAAGCGATCTATAGGTCTAAGATCACATGCTTCACACAGGTACTCATCAGGAATATTGTCCCGGTCTATTTCCATGCAGTCTACATGTTGCCAGACACTATAAAATAACAGTAATTAAATTATTTTAGATTGAAATTTTATTTACGTGCAAAGAATATCAATATCACTCCTGGCATATAAATGTAAATTCTACATGTACTCCATCACCCAACATTAAAACCCCAGGTTATCCAAGTTCAAATTATTTCTCAGGTAAAAAATCTTAAAAAACTGATCCCCAGCTTAACATTAAAGTATCAATAACATAAAAATGGCTTACTTACAAACATCTATCACACTGGATCATGTATCCATCATCATGGGAAAAATCACAGACACATCGAGTAATGGAGTCATCTACAGGTTGTTCATCACCTTCTCCCTCAGGTGCAGTTTCAGTTTCTTCTCCAGATGGTCCAACAGATGAACTTCGATCACTCATACGTGAATCATCATCTGTTTCTGCCCCAGTGGTTGAGGATGGGGGGCCTGTGATGGTAGGTGGGGACTGGTGTAACTCTACTGGAGGTGGGGGGATGTGAGGTGATGGGAAAATGCTTGTCTTAGGGTGTGGCATAAATTGTTGGCGGTGAGGTGGCATTGTATTAATTGGATGAGAAGTCAACAAGCCAGACACGGAGACAGAAGGACCTGATGAAGTAATAATCCCTAGTCTAGGGGAAGGATTGACATGAGAGGTGGCTTGCTGAGGGTGATTATGGTATTGCTGTTTGTGTTGAGAATGATATAGATTATTTGTATTTTGTTGGGTATGTTGCTGTAAACTGTGAGGATGATTAGACTGGTGAGGCTGGGGGTTGTGCTGGTGATGGGGTTGATGCAAGTATTGAGAGGGGTGGTGGTACACAGATGATCCTGATGAAGATGGTAGGGGAGGTGGGGACTGAGGTGGAGTTGGAGGAGGAGGAGCACCATAATTATGGTCTTGAAGCACAAAGGGTAAATTATATGTAGAACTGTGCTTCGAAGAGGAAGATGAGGATGAGGAGGTTGAGTAGGGAGAAGAGGAAGAGGGTGGTGTGCTCATGGAACCACTGGATGGGCCATCCAACACTCGACCCATAGTGTCTGAAACATTTGACCTGGAAAAATGAAATTGTTTTTACTTTCAAGAGTTTAATACACACACACAAACACTAGTGCAGTAATAAATTGCATATCACTTGCCACAAACATTTAAAAGTCAAACTGGGTCCAGCAATATTCAGGTATATATCAGCTACCATGTACTGTATTTTACTTATGATTGAAGTGTTAATTTCACGTACAAAATTTTTTAACTTAATTTGCATGCAAAAACAGATGAAAATTTATTGACAGTAATGTTTAAAGCTATATGGGCCTTTAACTTAAAGATAAAATACAACACTGTATTGGTATATGAAACTGCTAATGGTGAGTTTATAGTCTTATTACATATACTGTACAGTATATTCCGCTAATGTACTACTGTACATTAAATACATGAGTAAATATCTCTCAAATCCATATTCTGTTTAATCAAAATCTATGTTTGATGATTTTTGAGTACAATTGTTGAATTAAAAAAAATATATATACAGTGCATGATCAATCAGTAGACACCATACTCCATGTTCAGAATTGCCTTTCCTACAAATTGTGCCATACTGATAAAAAAGTTTTGAGAACTATAACTACAGATCTAAAAACTTGCAAGATATAAAACAAAATTACAGTGATATAAATAATGGCTATGGTGATGTAATGACTGTAATGCACCTTGGGAGTCAACAGAAATACATACTGTACACACAATACTTGGGGATTGCCACTAACCGAGGGTGCGTGTAAGCAGAGAGGGTGACATGATGGGTGGGAGGCTGTGTGTTGGTGGTGGCCCCACCAGGACTAAGCACCAGCTTGTGTACCACCAGTGACATGCCGCTGCTACCTTCCCTCCCCACCAAGCCGAGCCATCATTACACACCCTGAAACAAAATGATGTCAATATGATGTCAATTTAACCGAATGAAAACTATATTACACTCACATGTTGTTCATATCATAAAGATCATAGGGCAGTTACCATACACATGCATAATAACTGTCCCATAAAAACAATAACAATAAAATGCTCAATTCCAAAGGATATTCTACCCTTTACAAATGTCTTTTTCTTGTACATGTGTATTGTAGTTTTACCACAATAAAGAATAAACTAAATAACTATTTGAATATCAAACTTCACAAAAAAGTTAAATGAAAACAAAGTAATGAGTGTAAGGACCTCAGAGTTGACTATCAACAGTGAAGGTGATGTATGCCTCTGTTAAAGTTTCCATGTAAAACAGGGGCCATAACTGGTAATTAGCACTGTAAAATTTGGATAATTAAAACACCCGAGATGCCATGAAATGAGGTTAAGTACGAAAATTCATTTAGATGCTTGAGGCCTTTCTTTGGTTATAAACATAAAGGAACTTAATATGGGCGGGCAGACTAAACACGAGATATCCCCCATACGCGATCCTCTCCCCAATTAATCTCACATTCTGTACCCTGGTCATAAAATTCTTTTAATACATGGTACACAACTATAATTACACAGGGGTAAAAGTGGGCCCCACAAGTATAATGGTCCATTAGGGACAGTGTGGATACACAACACTGTATGCAAAGCCTTAAGTACAAATGGATGAATTCGATGAAGTGCGACTTTCCCATCTGTAAAGTTTAGTCCCCCAACTACAGCTGGGTGCACTGGAAATGCCCAAGGATCGCTGTACCTTATAAAAGGGTTATACAGTACCACATTAAAACTTAAGTGGATTTCAGATCTCCATAAAAAAAATCAATAGACAAAATATTACCAGGATCCCTTGAGTTTGATCATGGGGATGTGGTGGGAAAGAATGTAATTTAGATTTATGCCAGTGAATCACGTAGTACTGTATATGGTACAACAACCTTACGTGCCATGCAAAAAAAAAAATAATGGTTTACGTAGCTATATTCCTCATATACTTTACCTTTATTATTATTTGCATCATACTGCATTTAGCGTCTACTCGTAGATCCCGTGGATCAGGTCCTGATTAGGAAAACAAAAATCTTAATTTATTTGTTCCATCCACAGTCCCTGGCAACTAGTTACATCTACCCTCCAAGTTAACTCATTTCTACCAATTATACTGGATCTTATTACATAAGGAAGAAATCTTGGACATTAAAGGCGTTTATTGTAAGGCGTTTTTTATTCACGGATTAGCTAACGAGTTAGCTATTCTGTATGCGCAGACGCTGCCTTTGACTTATGCACATGGCACATTCAGAGGGAAAAGCTAAAACCTCGATCAGGCCTTGTGCAGCGCCAAAGCGGCCCAAATAGCCGACAACCAATCAGCGATTTCTCCCACTGAAAATACGCGGATCATGGCCACTTACGGAGAATATTTTGATTAACATTGAAGAGTTGAAGGCATGTAAGGCAATGAAAAACTGTGATATAATAATAACAAATAATTTTATATACGGTAGTATATTGGATAGGACCTAAAACAAAACGTATGGCGTAAAAAAAATGAAAAGAATTGCGCCTAGTTGAACCCAGTTTTGGCTCAGCTCATTTTTAAGTGGGCGCTGTCCGATTTATTAGCAGTTGGTGACTTTGGTGTAACAATATTGATAATTACTCAAATATGAATAAAACTCTAATATCATTACTCATAAGATACTTTAAATAAGGGTGAAGAGTTTTTTACAGTCCTGTAAGTCAAAAATTAAGACAACGAACCTGAAATTCGTCGTATTGCGTGTATATTATATGCGAACACCCGTAAACTACACAATGTAGCCGCGAGACGAGAGAACATACAGTACGTAATGGAGCACCTTTAAGAACATAAGAACATAAGAACATAAGGAGTCTGCAATAGGCCGGTTGGCCTGTGCATGGCAGCTCCTGTCGAGAGTTACTCCCACTCTCTATCATCCATGAATACATCCAGCCTGCTTTTGAAAATTTCCAGCGTTCCAGCACTTACTACAAAGTTGCTAAGCTTGTTCCACTCGTCCTGTATAAAAAATGGATCAAGCCATGGTTATTGACCGTTTGTCTTTTTTTCCTTATTGTCTTTCTTTCCATATTCTTCTATATATTTTCTTCACAATTTTTCAAAGACGCGGTACAAAAGTCGCATTTTTTAATGACAGTCTGGGATAGCTAACGCGTCAGCTATTCCGTGCATCTTAAAACGCCTTAAGTCACATGCAAAACGTTTAAGCGATCAAAACTTAGTTTCAGATGTAAAAAGAACACACGATAACTAGTCGTGTTCAGATATTATTCTGGTCGCATCTTAAAGCAATAAAACATAAGTTGTCGGTGTTTCTATAAGACATAGTTCACAAAAACAGTCATACCCGATGAACAGAAAACTAACACAAAATACTTTTTACAAGATTTTATTACCTGAATATAAACTTTAAATAGCACAATGTTCCAAGAGTCATAATTTACACAATTAAATTACGTACTGCATATTTTTTCCGAGATGTGAAGAATTATAATTTGGATCCCCCAAAAAAAACTATATGAGGAAAAATCTTTGAAAAACAGCGAAATACAAATCTTTAGCCTAACCTGTTTCAAGTAAACATTTAGGTTCTCCACGTAATTTCGATGGTATTTAGGACGTTTGAAGTCCTCCAACATCTTGAGTGTTCAACATTCAACGAGCGAACCTTTAAGTATCCTGCTCCTGGTATACCATATACGGTACAACATACTAGTGACTAGTCTGCATCTTTGCCACTTCGTATCCCTGACGGTCAATAGTAGAGATGACCCCACAACGGTTTACTGCATCACCCGCCCTTCAAAATTATGACAGTGAATAGAATAATCGTCATTACGAGAAACTAGGAAAATTATGCTTTGCCTACATACATAGTACTGCAAAGAAATTAACCAGCCTGCATAAGCGCAATCAATCTTAGAGGAATGTCCACCTGCTCTTAATATGCGACAAAATAAACATTAGGTTTACGTCATATACACAATATACATGGATACTTTTCTTTAATTAATCAATAATATCCTAGTCTGCAACTCAACAAAACACAGGCGCAGCAACCGTGGGCGGTCGTGACCAGAAAGTTTCACGAGACCCGACTTTTATTTTTAACAAGGATATAAAACATAGTAATTTGTTGATCTAGCTGGTTAAGCCGATATCGAAGGTTACTTACTACCATACACATGGGTAGTGCTAGAAATCGGCCCTTTCTATTTTCTGGTATGCTTTGTACGTGAACATTTCTTAACGCTGAATAATGGAAGCCATATACAGTGGGGTCTACCTCACTACGCAGTTTCAAAATACCCAGCTACCTCACTCGTGTGACATCTTATTCGTCAAATTTGAAGCTTGCTAGTAAACTATTCTTCGAAGAGGTATATATTTGGAAGCAATATTAATAATCCGCCTTCAAAATAGTGGTTCCTCCATTTTGAGGCTTGTATCGATCCGCACCGCGCTCCACAACGGCCTGTCGTTGTGGCCTAGTGGGTTGGTCGTCATGGCAACATAATGACGTCACATGCGGAGGAACGAAAGGCAAAGCAGCTCTACGCTCCCACTAGAGGCACGCTTGGGGTGGCCACTCTTCTTTGTTTACAGCATTCAGATTTAAGTTAAAATGGTGTACCTACATATTAGCTGCGAAAGCTACATTCTTAACCATATTTCAAGACCAGTTCCGCAGATAACACGAGAAAGGGACATTTAATTACGTACAATATTTCATCTAACAAGCTGCCGGGTTTCTTTGTTGCCAGCTCAATATCATAGGAGTAACAACTTCCTCCCTCAGGTCCCAGGATTCTAAAAGAGTGGCAGCGGAGTAAGCACACACCATGGTTGTGAGAGGTGTGACGTTTTCAAGAGTAAATCTCGAGCCAAAATCCCAAGTGATAGCAGAAACTACAGACGCACTGAAAGTGAAATTCAGGTTGGGATAGTAAAAAAATGGGCCTTTATTTCCATCAATGTAATTTGTAAGGAGCAAAGGCTGTAGTATGTGATGAGGGTGGTGGCGTAGGATGATCAGTTGAGGTGGGCGGCTCGCGCGTGGGTGGTGTAGAGCCCGCAGCTAGTGTGCCACTGAGGCAGGGAGAGTGGGGGACATGAACGGCACAAAACCAACATCGACGCAGCTAGTAACTGAAGGCTACATACTCCTAGCTTGGATTCTTGCCCCACAAACCAACTATGTAATTTACAACGATTTTTATTGTCAATTTTTTTTTAAATTACAACCATCAATAACATGTTCCTGATAAGTGCGTGTTGCATCGTGTTAGGTACAGGTTATGTCAAGCTGGTTGTACACCCACTAAAAATTTATTCGGCACCCGTGTCATATTGTATCACGCCGTAAGTGCCGAATAATTTTTTAGTGGATGTACATGTATGTATCGTGCATGTATACATGTGTGTGTATATGTGTACAAGTATCATGTACACCCACTAAAAAATTATTCGGCACCCTTACGGCGTGATACAATGTGACACGGGTGCCGAATAAATTTTTAGTGGGTGTACATCATCACCAAAACAAATAACATGGTCCCCAAAGCCTCTTTCTTACAAATAATTGGAATGGAGGTTGAAAAATTATCATCAGTTGCTCAAAATTTGATCAAATTGCTTTTCAATAATAAGAAATTTGAACTAACGTGGTGATAAAAATACAACTCTTAATCACAACCCCAATAACTAACAAAATAGCGGCCGACCAAATGTGCCTATCTTCTCAAATTAATTAGTTTTAAATTGGATATCAAAAACTTTCAGTGAATAAATAATTATCTAGTACCGCACTGTACTCTGAACATCAATGGACAGAATGTATCAGCTTTTTTTCCACACTAACATTTTCTAAAATAACGAGAACTTTCTTTAATACGCTAATCTTCTGTTCAAGTTGTGTCTGAAACCTTGGTAAATAAAAACTAAAACAACAGAGATAATATTTAAGTTTTAAAGTGAGACGAGGCCAAGAGACTGGTATAATGTTGAGTAATGAAGGCGCGGCAGCTTCCCTTTCCCTGCATTCAGGCCAACACTACCGTCTTCCTTTATTGGAGTTTACATCTACTCTCGCCATCATTGGTTTTCTACATTGTATACTACAGGGAGGTGACCAGTCTTAATTGTCGGTTCTAACTATACTGTCCTCGATAACAGTGTGGTCGAGAACAGGCAGCATAGATCAATTATTGTCCTCTGCGACTTTAAAACACACAAAACTTCAATATTACGCCACGCCAGAAATTTCACAGTAACTCACACAGGCGCCATAGAGTTATTCAACAGCCACCACAGCTGGTTTCAACTCCTTTCAAATACTAGTCGACATATTACAACTCACGGTAATCCCATAAAATATTATACATGAGTACTTTGTTAGTATCTGATGCTAAGATGTCAATAGACCACATGTCATTAATTATCAAAGGTTACAAAATTACTGTAAAGAAACTTGCAAAACAATTCAGTCATAAAAACCTTAAGTAAAAAAATTGTTTAAATGATGTCAACATTACTTCATAACTACAAGATTAAAAGAATATTGTAAATGACATGCCCAGTGTTATTATTACAATTACCCTCCACAATACACATTACATAGATCTGAATCAATGAAACTACTTAACAATTTACCAGATAAAATACGTTTCCAAATCGAAAAAAAGTATAAGTGGAACAAGGTATCGGTGTTCTGTATAGAGCAGTAAACAGCTGACAGAAGGGCCAATGGTGGTGTGTGAATGTACAGTGTGCCAGTCCCCGCTGACGTGAGGCCAGGAGCAACGACCGCTGCCCTCTCTCTGCCTCCCTCTCTTCCGTGTTGGTAACGACTTGCAATTCAACTGCTAGTTTCACCCATCGCCGCCGTCTGAGGAACATCTCAGCTAACAAAAGTTAGCAGATATTTCAATATTTACCACACGAATTTTAATACACTAAGAATGAAGTCGACTGGGACGTGTGACGATACAATAACATGGGATCACTATAAAAGGTA